AAAGGGAATTACGGCAGACATAACAAAGTTTTTACGACGCATACCGCTTGACCAAGGGCAAAATCCCTGAAACACTGATATAATTTATTTTATTACAAAGACAGACAGCTTGTCCTTTTTAATTTTCATTTTTAAACACTTGGATACTTGCAAAAATACTCAAATATGTAATCATTTTTGAAATCCTTGATAGCTAGTGGATGAAACGAATTAAATTTGTTTTTGATTAAATTAGAAACAGGTAATTCTGATAACATATTTAATGACATCAAACTTAGTCAAGTAATAATTCTACTATAGTTAAACCGCCGTAAGCTTGGCCCTCCTGATGGTTTGCGGGACGCGGGGCGGGTGATGCGCTCGGCTATACATGACACGATGTACTAACTCGATATCTTCAGATTTATTTGTTTGAGATTTAATCTACACACGATGTAATAAAAATCGAATTTATTTCCATGTATTATAATGTCAGTGTATTGTAAGTTTTTAGGATTAATTGTAAAATTTAATACTGTAAAATAATTTTAATAAAGTCACCTTATCTTCATCATGTAAATTATATTCAGATACAATTTAAAAATTAAGTAAAATAATAAATATTCTTTATTAGAACTTTAACAGTAGAACCTCTGTAAGCCGAACTTCAAGTTTTTAAATCTTTTTGTGACACAGAGTCGGCAGATTATCCATGTTGCAAAATAATACCGTGTGTAGCAGTCTTAAGAAAAATAACACGTACAGCCATGCTTTCACGTCAGTCACTGCCGGCGGACAGCGACGCACTAGCTAATTGGTTGAATGCACCCCCGCCCCGCGTCCCCCAAACCATCAGGAGGGCCAAGCTTACGGCGGTTTAACTATAGGTATGTGTAGCAATGGCATAAATTTGTACAAAATAATAACACATCTGACAGAGAGAATTAGAGTGACTCTAATAAAGTGGTCCCAACTAAAAACATGGCATCTTCGACATCTAAACCAGTGTTAAGCGATTCTTTCATTATTTTTCACCGAGTGGTACTGAAGCTCCAAACCCCCCTTCGCAAAATTCTGGGGGAAGGGGCTCAAAGCACTCGTCTTTTTTTTTATTTGGCTCACCAACAGTTGTACGCACTGATACAAAGATATTCATCAATGACCTTTAATAGTCCACTCCTGGACATGGTTTTGGCCTACTATACCACGCAGGCTAGACGGGTTGGTATAGGGTTTGGGTCATGTTTTCCTTCTTTTTGCTGTTGTCCTGCGTTGTTTTGCGTCGTTAGTCGGCTCTTACGACACCCACGGGATGAATAGGGGTAGTGACAATCTGTATTCTTAATCCGTGTAAACAAAGACATTAGATACATTCAATAGACTTATAGCCTTTACTATAACAATTATAGGTAAACACATCATGCACTAATTATTTGTTAACAATATCAAATATTTTAAATTACATTAATCCTAAGACACTTAACATAATGATAGATTTTATACAAAAAAGTATTTGAAAATCAAAGTTACAAAGCTAGAACTATAGCCGACCAAAAACACGGACGCTTTCACAAGACTTTGCAAATAGCACTTCTGAACGAATAATACTGAGTCAGAGTGCACATCAACGAGAACACTACTGTTCAACAATTTGCTCTTTGACTCTTGAGTTGCACGCGGCGGTAATCACTTCCCATCAGCTGACCCGTCTTTTCGTTTGCCTCAAACCCAGTCGAATTACAGAAGGACAAATTCCTCTTCCATTTCTAGCAGCGTACGTGAGACACGAACACGGTCAAACGAGACTATTGAATGACAGAACGCAGTTGCCTACGGAGACCAGTAATTCGCGTGCGTGACTTTCTCGATTTTGAGGTCAAGTTTACTGTACAGATGGAATAAAGACTACACAACGTTTCGCGGTACTCTTTTGGATCCCTCTGTGTAGCATATATATGTATGTAGGTTGAAGTATTTCGTAAAAACAATATCAAGTTCAACAGGTAAGCGGTCTTTCTGCAACTTCCGAAGCAAACCCGTAGATAATTATCAAAACGGTATCTTGTCGAAGTTGTGATTTTTTCAAAATAACAATTTGTTATGTCATTTCCTCAGAGTCATTTTCTCAAACTAGGTTGGGGTTGGTTTTATGTCTACTATCGATAATGCGGATTTGATTTTTTACGTGGAGCGTCAGACCTCCACAATCCAAATACTAGGCGATATTGCAGTTTTGTATATGGCAACTGGGACCGATGGCTTCAAGTGCTCCCGAGGCACAGTGGGGTCTCAACGTGTTAAGAATGATCACCCATCTATAGACTGACCTGGCTAGGATTGCTTGATTTTGCAATGTGTGCAAATGTTACTCCATTACCACTTAACCACGAGCCCTTCCTTTGTTACAATATCATCATCATCAACAGCCTTTAATAGTCCACTGCTGGACATAGGCCTCTCCTTAGAAAGGAGGTTTTGGCCTACTATACCACGCTGGCCAGACGGGTTGGTATAGGGTTTGTATCAAGTTTTCCTTCTTTTTGCAGTGCTGGTGTCCTGCGTTGTTTTGCGCCCTTAGTCGCCTCTTACGACACCCACGGGATGAATTGGGGTAGTGACATTCCGTATTGTAATTTTAACAAAAGTTTAATGAGTCCCAACCTATATTCAATCTGAAAGCAATACTTGTGCGACGCAGGATCAGAAGAATTGAATTCTAGCTAGTCCAATGTAAATCAGATTCTTTTTACTAGATGGCGTTAAATATACGTTGTTACAAATGGATTGATGCATTATTTACCTATTAAGAACTAATAACTTTAATGATAAACTGATAAATAAAAGATTTTATGGCCTCAAGATTTGTGATAGCGTTTGAAACTAACATGTTTCCTAATTAATATATAAACGTGGCAAGCAATGATTGATGTGATTATAATGATATGTACTATAATATATACTCGTGTTTTTCCATTAACGATTGTCACTCGCATTCCCCACATTCGTTAATTATCATTATGGACAAAAATCACGTGATTACTACTTCTTTGTTTCTGTTTCCTCTTGTATTTTGTTTATGTACAAATTATTCAATAAGAAGGTATATTTGTTTTATAATTAGTCATTATTTTTTGGTAGAAGAGTTGCCGGTATTATTCTTAGGAGGACGTTTGGAGTTGATCAAAATAGAAGAATTTCAATAATAAGCGTTTAAGGATAACATGTTTTCTTAATATACCTGAGGGGTAGATCCCTTCAGAGATAAAGACGTGGGATAGTATGTGTCTATGACAATGTGTTCTTAAATTTCAGTGAAACCGACGAGATGATACCGAAATAGTTTCTGATTCTAAACACTTTGTGGCTTTTGGTTCAAATCTGATATCTTTACGCTCTCCTAAAGAAAGAACGCAATCAATAGTATCATCATCATCATCAACAGCCTTCATTAGTCCACTGTTGGACATAGGCCTCTCCTTAGAAAGGAGGTTTTGGCCTACTATACCACGCTGGCCAGACGGGTTGGTATAGGGTTTGTATCAAGTTTTCCTTCTTTTTGCAGTGCTGGTGTCCTGCGTTGTTTTGCGCCCTTAGTCGCCTCTTACGACACCCACGGGATGAATTGGGGTAGTGACATTCCGTATTCTTAATCCGTCACTACACGGATAAATCAATCAATAGTAATTATTCTCATAATTATTACAATTATCTTATCTAACTATCTATACAAGGCATCTTTATTTTTCTTAAAAAGACAACTCCCGCATTAGGAATATATATCCTGTGACACAAACCCTAACTAACCCGCATGGTATAGTAGGCCAAAACCTCTTTTCTAAGGAGAGGTCTATGTCCAGCAGTGGACTATTGTAAGCTGTTGATGATGACGAGTTAATTACAGAGTCAACAAGACACACACACTGTTATTTATGATACTCAGTTAGTCCCAGGAAAGCTAAACTGTCATGTATACTACAACTAATTTATTTATCGAATTACTTATTTTATTAATATTGCAAATTATGGATTCGGAAGAATTTGCATTATTCAGTTTTATAATACCTTAAATATCAGGCATGTATAAACCTTCAAATGAAAGTGTTAAGTTTGAACTTCATAATTACCCTATATCACGTTCGTTCATCTTAAACTATGGTTAACAGAAAAAACTACAAAGCACTAGTTTTTGCCTGCAGTTTCGCGAGCGGTAATGTCGGTTTTGTCAATCAATTTGCCGGGATAAATAGTAGCCTACGTCATTTGCCAGACTATAATCTTGCCCAGTACCAAATTTTATCCAGTTCCATTTAGGCATTCTGACATGATTGAGTGACAAACATCCATCCACCCATAATCACAAACTTTTACGTCACTATTAGTCATCTTCATCATCAACAGTCTTTAACAGTCCACTACTGGACATAGGCCTCTCCTTAGAAAGGAGGTTTTGGCCTTCTATATGACGCTGGCCAGACGGGTCGGTATAGGGTTTGTGTCAATTTTTCCTTCTCTTTGCAGTGTTGTTGTCGCGTAGTTTGCTCCCTTAGGCGGCTCTTCCGACACCCACGGGATGAATGGGGATGGAACAATCCGTATTCTTAATCCATCACGACACGTTACCGACCGTTACCGACCGACACCGACTATTAGTACACATTATAAATGTTGAAATAAGCAGGTCTTCTTGATGAATTTTAGTAAAAGGTCAACTTCATACACCTAAATCATTACCCGCCTGCCCTTTTCTCTTGCCCTTTTTTTCTCTCAGAAATACCCTATAAAATTTTGCCTGGTCCGGTATTCGAAGTCACTAAGGCAGCGCTTTTCAAATTCCACGCGAACGAAGCCTCGGGCACCAGCTAGTTATTATTAATTAGCATGAAAATTTCCATGTACATTGTCATGGGTCAGTCAGACTTAAAAAGTAACTACTGTTATATACTGTAAGTATTTCAGTTTAACACAATTAAAATCTCAATATACACAAGGGAAATTTAAAAATATGTGTGTGTGTGACTTACTTGATAAATAGGACGATGCCAGTCTTTTCAATCTGCCTGAAGATTCCCTTCCACGAAGCCAGTATGCAGTACTGCTGCTTCGTGGTCAGCGGTGATCGAGGATCGTGGGGTGGTGGTGGCCTATTTATTTCATCATGGTTCATCTCCGAAGCCAATAACTTAGTTAATTTACAACCCATTGTGAAGTATGTTTAAATTACATAAAAAACAAATTACAATTCTTTAATTCACTTTTTGAAATTTGAAATTCGTTCGTGCTAACACAATAGTTTATATTCTTAATTTAAATTTAAAATTCATTTTTTAAACTGTCCGATGTCACTTTTAAAATGTTGTCACACACAAAAAACACGTTCTTGGGACGAAAAAAAGTAAATATTAACAATAAAATGGTCGAACGAGTATAGACGCTAGTACCGTATTGCTACACCAACGGTGTGAGTATCCTAGAGCGCTGATGTGAAATCAAATGCAATAAATTGTATGCTCGCTTAAAAATAGAAAAAAATAGGTCTGCGCGTTTAGGCAGTCTCAGCTTTTGATACTTTAGAGAATTAAAATACAAATTTACCTACATTGTTATTACCTTTTTTTTTTAAAGCAAACACATTATTATTATTTATTACAAATATATGACATGAAAATGCACTTAAAAGTTGTAATTTAGTATAACAATACCTTGTTTTTAAAATAGTAAATATCAAAAAGTTACTACAAATCGATAGAACGCGTACTAAAAATCGACTACGCCACTAAAACTCATTATGTTATTAATAACGATGTCTAGTGATTTTCCGTTAGGCAATAAATTTAAAAATAAAACAGCTCATTTATTCGACTAGTTGATAACGATAGGTTTTTAAAACTAAAGTGCTCCAACCAGATACTAGTGATGGGATTGTCAATGTTATATTCAGAAAAAAATGTTGTGTAAATATACGAATATAATGGGCCAAAGTATTATTTTAAATGCTAACATAACATGGTTTAAAATAAAACTTGATTTTAAATTAATATGTGAATGAAAACATAAAACAGAACTTATGACAATTTGTAGTATGGAACACAAATTAATTTACAGACGATCTAAAAGATACACACATAGGCTATTTATCTCAGTTAAAAATGAGTTTGGTGATAAAGAATCACTTCAGAGATTAATATTTTAACAGAAAAACTTTTACACTTTGAATCAATTCAAGGGATATTATTATTTATTGGTTAATGATACAACTAATGGAAAACAAACATCTTAGAACTGCTTTATTGAAATCAAAATGGTTGTTGTCAGTCAATTTTTAAAGAATTTGATTATCTAAACAAATTGATAACGTTTTATTAAATAAAAAAGCCGTGTGGTGTCGTGGGACACCCGATAGGAACGAAGTTGTGACGATCGAGTAAAACTGATTCGACACGATTTTAATTACAACGCCATCTATGAAAGCGGCTATTACCTACATATTTTTCAGTTGGTTTCTAATTAAAACAATTTATACATTGGTAAAATCTCCTTGAGAAATGATTTCCTATCTATTCGATAGATGGCGCTGAATGACTGACAAGTGACAATTCAAAATAAATACTGAGATGAAAAGTAATGATTTCCTATCTATTCGATAGATGGCGCTGAATGACTGACATAAAAAGTGTCGTTACAACTTTTCGTGAGATTTTTTTCCGTCGTTCCAATAAATTGACTTCTTTAAAAATGTTCTGTAAACATTAATTATAAACATAAAAGCTTTTTTTGGAGTAATCCGATTGAATAAAAACATGTATTTATGTACATCCACGTATGTTCTAATGTACTTTTTATTATTTGCCTGTCGTTGACAATTTTCGCCGGCCTCACAAATCCAATTTGAAGATGAAAGTGTAGCGACCATCCGTGGTACGACAGGATCCGGGCAAAATTGCCTCATGTAATGTTACGTAAGAGCGTTTGATGTGACATTACGATTCAGTTTCGTTTTTCAGCCAACAAACCTGTTTCGTTTCAAACCAACTGTGAAATATAGCGGCGTGTATGTATTTGTATATGAAACATGCTTAGATACTACTCATGCATATATCTCGGAAGGAGTAGGCAGAGGTGTATATTTTGCTCATTTATTGCTGAACTTAATTATTATTTTACGTTGTCAAATTTATTGCCGTCAACTTTTAATGTCTACTGTGAATTTTGGGCATTAGAGTTGAAAATTGGAATCAAAAGTAGAATAAAATAGAAAACAATTTTAAAATGAAGGGATACTAGAGGTTTGTAAATTCTTCAACTAGAGTAGGTTTATTTACTTGTAACCTAATGGAGCTATTGCAGAAAAGTACGAACTCTTGAGGTATACCTGTCTTTATGTTCTACTCAATTGTTTAAATATTAATACAAGTATATCATATTTCGCAATAAAATAAATAGTTTTAACATCAATATGTCCCACACTCGGGGTTTTTCATGGTTAAGTTAAAAAATCGATAAAACTAATAAATGAAAGAGACAAACGACTCACAAATGAGTAAAAGTTGACATCTATTACTACTTCTTTATAAAATCATTTTCTTTTTGGTACTCACTTATTTTTTTCACGTTTTTCATATTGGCAGATTGCAGAATAGGTAGGTAAAAAATGTTACACATAAAAAATAACACAAAAAATAGTTTTTATATTTGCATACTTCCCATCACTATTTAACCGCATTGTCCAAACATTTCTGTCGGTGCAATTGTATGATAATGTCAAATCCATATATGTAATTATGGCCACTGAACGTCATCACACCAGCTACAGTCGCGATCGAGCGAAACTCAACATTACACAGTTGCAATAAGGTTCAAGTAGTAGAAACCTTTATCAGTTTCCTCGTCATGAGCGATGCCTTTTAAGGGATGGTGACGAAATGTTTAATATATTGTTGGTTGTGTTTCCTTTTCGTTTGTTGATGAACGCATCCGATAAGCATTGTGTGAACTATATACATATTTATATTGCGGTGTTTGTGACAATGGGTGGTAGTTGCTTCACTATGTGACGATACTTGGCTGACACTGGGTTGACGAGTCTTGGTATTTTTTTATCGATTTGGGACTAAGGGCATCGATTTGGTGATTTTTTTATGGTAAAACTAGGGGGAAACGAGCACATAGCTTATTTTTAATAAACGACAACTCCGGCACTATGAATATGTTCAGTTTCGCGGGGGACATTACAAACATTTATGAAGTGGACACAATGAACACCCGGACTCAGAACTCTCTTAATTATGGATCACGCAAAGTGTTATCCGATGTGGGGATCAGACCCACTGCAGTCAGCGCGAGATGACCGTGTCAACCACTACGCCATCCGTGCGTTTAATTTGTCAGTCATTTTAATTTATACTTGCTGTCATTGTATTATTTACCATCAACTTAAAACCCAGAAACCAGCCAGACCCAAGACTTTTCAAACACAAAAATTTCAACTTCTTACACTATCTATGAAAACAAAATTTATTGTGAAACAAAAACAAAAGGATAAATTTTCAAATAATATTTATTTAAAATCAAATTAACACTTGATAACACCGACCTTATACACTTTATTACATACAATATATTCATTACTTATATAAATGTAATACAACTTAGTTATCTGTACTTTTAACATTCAACATGACATACTTAAAAAGTTATAACTCGCTTAACTTATAGAGAATAAATTGTCCTTTTGTATCAACACTAGCTGACCCGCGCAACTTCGTCTGCGTCTCTCAATAGTAATAAATTTTCTCCGTTTTTAAAACATTCTTCATTGGTGCTCCGCTCCTATTGGTCTTAGCGTGATGATATATAGCCTATAGCCTTCCTCGATAAATGGGCTATCTAACACTGAAAGAATTTTTCAAATCGGACCAGTAGTTCCTGAGATAAGCGCGTTCAAACAAACAAACAAACAAACAAACTCTTCAGCTTTATAATATTAGTATAGATTACTGAGGGCTTATTGTGAGTTTATTTCACATCAACTGGATAGTCACGGTGACCGGTTTGGCCGATTTCGGCGTTACGATTGGCCCGCACTGAAATCTGTACCAATCGCAACGCAACGAGAACGAGTTGATGTTAAATAACCTTCCACTCGGCCCTCTGTTCTCTGGGAGGGGGAGCTCAAGTAAGAGATGTAATGCACTTGTAACTGAGTTACAGATGTCCATGGGCGACGGTAGTCATTTACAATTAGTGGGCCTTTTTTTCTTTTTTTATTTCCGTGCGGAAATCCCCTTTTCTTTTCATTTCATTTTTACGGGAGAGGTGTTTTTAAATTATTAGCGGCGGTGGCATAGTGGTTAAGGCGTTTGACTTGCGATCAAAAAGTCGTGGGTTCAAATCCTGACCGATACACTACCGACGTAAAGCCACTCCTAACACAAGCAATTTCGCTTAGCGGGAGGGGTTGACGGAAATACTAGTAATTTCAGTTTAAAAAAAACTTATGTGAAGCTAAAAATTACACACTCATATGTTCATAATGTTTCTAGACTAATTCTAAAAGAGAAGATTTGTCACTCAAATATTACTTATTACAGAAAACTAAATATATAATTATGTCCGTATAGGTGAACAAACTAATTTAAAAAAAAACACATTTGATAATTTAATGGACATACCCAGGGCAATGTGTAGACAACCTTCAAAAATGAATGTTTTTAAACGATAATTAAATTTAAAAGAAAACAAGCATTTTTTTCTTGCATTTGACAAGCCTTCTATTAGTGGAGGACAGCAAAAGTCTTAACAACATTATGCTTACACCCTTGTGGGTTGAACACACCCGATAAACGCGACTGGAACTGCAGCCAGTCCAGCTTATAACGTCATTAATTATTCAAATTGACTGATAATTTATTCGGTTAAAAACATAAGAATTCTTGCTTTTAAAAAAATGTTGTAAACAAATCTCTGTGACGTAGACGTATCTCGCACTCATTTTTAAAATTCCTCAGAAAAATATGAGCACAAAGAAGTGAAAAATACTCTCAAATCGATAGAAGTAGTATACAAATACATAAATTATGTTAAATTTGCTTACATTTGGCGAGAGGATTAAACCATAGTGTATGTAGGCGCCATAAATTTACCAGTTGTGTAAAATAAACTTCACTCTCTTTGTTTTAAATGTAAAAGAACATAAACGTAAGT